TGCCTCCCAGGTTCACGCCATTCTCCTGCCTCAGCCTCCCGAGTAGCTGGGACTACAGGCGCCCGCCACCACGCCTGGCTAAGTTTTTTTATTTTTAGTAGACGGGGTTTCACCGTGGTCTCGATCTCCTGACCTCATGCCTCCCGAAGTGCTGGGATTGCAGGCGTGAGCCATTGCACCCGGCCCACCCCCAGAATATTATACCACAGTAATACCTAAACAGGCTTGATGTCAAAAGTCTGCTATTTAACAAAAAAGAAAATAAAAATAAAAACACAAACAAAAATAGAAATTAAAAAATTGAAAAAAAGAATAAAATAATAGGCAGGATGATACCAGGTGGAATTCAAAAAAAGATACTATCAGTTGGCGTCAACTATGCTACCAGTAATCATTGAAAAAACAAGTGTTTCATAATAATTATTATCATTTTTTGAGGCAGGGTCTTACTCTGTCACCCAGGCTGGAATGTAGTGGTGCAATCAGAGCTCACTGCAGCCTCTGCCTCCTTGGGCTTAGGAGATCCTCCCACTTCAGCCTCCTGAGTAGCTGGAATCCCAGGCATGCGCCACCATGTTCAGCTAATTTTTGTATTTTTTGTAGAGAGGGGGTTTCGCCATGTTGCCCAGGCTGGTCTCGAACTCCTGGGTTTAAGTGATCTCCTGCCTCATCCTCCCAAAGTGCTGGGATTACAGGTGTGAGCCACTGTGCTGGGCTGAGTGTTTCATAATTATTGTACTTTCTTTGCATTTTGTACATAACAACAAATGGAGGCAAGAATGTTGTATGATTTGGAACACAGCATGCATTAATAGAAAACTGAAAATAATGAAATATGACTATAAGCCAACACAGTGTTTCCCGTCCCAAGTACATTTTCCTGAGAAAATTTCACTGCACTCTAATAAAGCTCAAAATCCTTGACCGTAAGAACTTGTACCACAGAATAAAATCTCCCAAAGCTGATATAGTTATTAACCATTTTCCTACTCACATCTGAAGTGCCAATACCATTTATTGAGATGACAGATTTTTACACAGTACTTAACTTTTTCCTCTTTTATTTTGAGATGGAGTCTTGCTCTGTGGCTCAGGCTGGAGTGCAGTGGCGCAATCTCAGCTCACTGCAACCTCTGCCTCCCGAGTAGCTGAAATTACAGGTGCATGCCACCACACCCAGCTAATTTTTGTATTTTCAGTAGAGACAGGGTTTCACCATGTTAGCCAGGCTGGTCTCGAACTCCTGACCTAAGGTGATCTGCCTGGCTCAGCCTCCCAAAGTGCTGGGATTACAGGCGTGAGCCACCGTGCCCAGCCCTTTTTGCTCCTTTAAAACTGTAGATGTAAACTCCAAAAACTTCCAAATCTCATTTTGTTTTCCCAGCAATCCTGGAGGACCTTCTGTCCTTCTAATGTAATATTTTACTAATGAAAAGCAAACACCTAGAAAAATCTCCAGCCTACAGGTCAAATTCAGACTGCAGCCTATTTTTGTAAATTAAGCTTTGTCAGAACACAGTCACATTCACTTGTTTACATCTTGTCTACAGCTGCTTTCCTGCAAAGGAAGGTTTGCATGCATGTGGCAAAGACCCCATGTCCCCAAAGCCAAAAATATTTACTATCCTTACAAACAAGGTTTGCCCATCACTGATCTAGAATCTGTATCTATCCCTTACAACCTTTCATCGTTTGGAATGTCATCCACTCCCTTTATGAAAACTCTGAAATCTTGAAATAGTGGCCTGATTTATTTTTAAAAACTGTTCCTAGATTTTTCTTTCCAAAGGTTAATTTTTCAGGTTTTAAAGGGCTTAGATTTCTGGTTTTGTTCTGGTTTTCAGACAGTCTCTCTGTGTCCTCCAGATCAAAGTGCAGTGGTAAGATCACTTACCATGAACGGCTAATTTTGTGATTTTTTATTTTTTATTTTTGTAGAGACAAGGTTTCACTATGTTGCCCAGGCTGGTCTTAAACTCCTAGGCTCAAACCATTCTCCTGCCTCAGCCTCCCAAAATACTGGAATTACAGGAATGAGACACTGCGCCCAGACTCAGGGCTTGTTTTCTGTTTTGTTTTGCTTTTTTCTTTTGAGACAGGGTCTTGCTCTATCACCCAGACTGGAGTGTAGTGGCATGATCATAGCTCCCTGCAGCCTGGGATTCCCAAGCTCTAGTGATCTTCCCACTTCAACCTACCAAGTAGCTGGGACCACAGGCGCACACCACTGTACCCACCTAACTTTTGTATTATTATTACTTTTTTTGGTAAAGATGGAGTTTTGCCATGTTGCCCAGGCTGGTCTTGAACTCCTGGACTCAAGCGATCCTCCTGCCTCAGCCTCCTAAAATGCTGGGATTACAGGCATGAGCCATCACACCCAGCCACAGGGCTTAGTTTTAATTAATAAATTCTACCTGCTTCACAGCTCAGCCTACAAGTACAAACTCAAGAGTACACGATTCACCATACAACAAAAATGTATTAAGCACCTGCAAGGTAAAAACGTATACTAGTGGCCAGGCGAGGTGGCTCACATCTGTAATCCCAGCACTCTGGGAGTCAGAGGCGGGCAGATCACCTGAGGTCAGGAGCTCCATACCAGCCTGGCCAACATGGTGAAACCCTGTCTCTACTAAAAAAAAAAAAAAAAAAAAAAAAAAAAAAAAAAAAAAAGGACAGGTGTGGTGGTGGGCGCCTGTAATCCTAGCTACTTGGGAGTCTGAAGCAGGGAGAATTGCTTGAACCCAGGAGGCGGAGGTTGCAGTGAGCCAAGATCGTGCCATTGCACTCCAGCCTGGGCAACAAGAACAAAACTCCATCTCAAAAAAAAAAATTAGCTGGGCATGGTGGCACGCTCCTGTAATCCCAGCTACTCAGGAGGCTGAGGCAGGAAAATCTCTTGAACTCAGGAGGCAGAGGTTGCGGTGGGACGTGATCGTGCCACTGTTACTTCAGCCTGGGCGACAGAGCAAGACTCCGTCCCCACCCCCCAAAAAAATGTATACTGATGGCAAGGAGTGTAGGGGAATCACAAGCAATACAGTAAAAGAAGCCAGACACCCGTGAAATGGCCCCAGGGCATGTAGGAATGCAGATGAATCAACTGAGAGGACAAGAGAAATGAAGGGCCAGGAGTCTCCCCCTTATCTTCGGGGGTCTCGTTCCAAGACCCTCAGTGGATGCTTGGAACTGCGAATAGTGCCAAACCCTAAATCTATTATGTTCTTTTTTTTTTTTTTTTTGAGATGGAGTCTCACTCTGTCGCCCAGGCTGGAGTGCAGTGTCGTGATCTGGGCTCACTGCAACCTCTGCCTCCCAGGTTCAAGCGATTTTCCTGCCTCAGCCTCCCGAGTAGCTGGGATTACAGGTGTGCACCACGTCTGGCTAATTTTTGTATTTTTAGTAGAGACAAAGTTTCACCACGTTGGTGAGTCCGGGCAATATAGTGGGACCAGCCCGGCAACATAATGGGACTCTGCCTCTACAAAAAAATTAAAAATTAGTCAGGTGTGGGGGAGCAGGCCTGTGGTCCCAGCTATTCAGGAGGCTGAGATGGGAGAATTGCTTGAGCCCAGGAGGTCGAGGCTGCAGTGAGCTGTTATCCCACCATTTCAACAGGGCGAGACCCTGGGCAACAGGGCAAGACTCTGTCTCAAGAGAAAAAAAAGAAGGCCCGCCAGGCGCAGTGACTCATGCCTGTAATCCCAGCACTTTGGGAGGCTGAGGTGGGTGAATCACCTGAGGTCAAGATTTTGAGATCAGTCTAGCCAACATGGTGAAACCCCATCTCTACTAAAAGCATAAAAATGAGCTGGGCGTGGTGGTGCACGTCTGTCATCCCAGCTACTGTGGAGGCTGAGGCAGGAGAATAGCTTGAATCCGGGAGGCGAAGCTTGCAGTTAGCCGATATCGCAATACTTCACTCCAGCCTGGGTGACAGGGCAAGACTCTGTCTCAAAAAAAAAGGCAAAGGTGACAGGTATAGAATTTTCAACTTGCATCAGGTCAGCATTCAATAAGTTCTGGATTTTGGAACAGATCAAATTTTGGATTTTTGGATTAGAGATGTTCAACCTGTACATACACACCTATGATGAATTTTAATTTATAAATTAAGCACAGTAAGAAATTAACAATAATAAAATAGAATAAGTATATCAAGTACTGTAATGTTATGTGAATGTGATCTCTCTCTCTCTCTCGATCTCTCTCTCTCAATATAACTTGTTGTAACGTACTTACCCTTCTTCTTCTTCTTGTAATGATGTGAGAATCTATGCCTGAATCTGTGTAACCATCCCTTACTCGCAGTAAATGGCTTGGTGTCAGTTTCAGAGCATCCCTTGCTGAAGTCTTGGTATAGGCTCAAGGCTTTCTGGCACAACACGTTGCTGTCAATGGGAACACGTTTTCTGTTCATCTCTTCCACCCACAAATGCAGTGCCTGTTCCATCTTAACTAAGCACTTATCACGCACCGTGGCCGTCACTTTAGCAGTTGGAGGTGAGACAGCAAAACTAGCACGAATTTCTTTTTCCTTCTTCACAATTTCACGGATGGAAGATTCATTTTTCCCGTAGATCTTAGCAACCTCAGCATAGGATTTTTTTTCTTTCCTGATTAAGTCGAGAACTTTCACCTTTTCACTTAGAGGAAGCACTTTACGGCTTCTCTTTGGCCTGTCCAAATTCCCAGCATCACTACTCTTGTGCTTTGGGGCCATTATGACGGAAAATAAGTGTGACTTGAACACATAGACTGGGACACTGTGACGGTCGATCTGATAACCGAGCCAGCTACTAAGTGACTATGGGTGTGGAGCGCCCACAGCGTGGGGACGCTGAACAAAGGGGACGATTCACTGCCAGGCTGCACAGCGCGAGATTTCATCACAGCGTGCAATTTAAAATTTATAAATTGTTTATTTCTGGAATTTTCCATGTAATATTTTCAGACCACGGTTGACCTCCGGTAACTGAGACAGCGGGTAAGGGGGGAAAACTGTACTTTCAGGTTCCGCAGCCTGAGAATGAGAGAAGGGACTGTGCAGGCTGAAGGCGTGGGGGAAGAGCCAGGGCCCTGGGGAGCAGACGTCAGGGACCAAACAGGCAGACAGGCAGGAAGAACCGTGACCCACTCCAAATCGCCACTGAAGATTGATCCCAACTGCAGGCTGGTGCCAAGCCCCGCGTCCACGGAAGTCACACAGCCTATGATGCCTTCCTCTCCAAATGGAAGCAAAGAGGAGAAAAGGCTGCTGGAGTCTTCAATTGCAGCCGTGAGCAATCTCCAACTGGCCAGTTTCCAAGCTTATATCTAGACATCTGCTTACTTCAAATTACCAGCACGAAACTAAAACACGATTTTTTATTTTCCTTAAAACACAAAGCTTGGCCCAGCAATTCCAGTCCTTGGTATACACCTATGAGAATTGAAAACAAATGTCCGCACAAAAACGTGTACACCAATGTTCATACCAGTATTATTCATAACAGCCAAAAGGTGGAAATGACCCAAATAGCCATCAATGGATGGAAAATCAAAATGCTGTGTATTCGTATCATGGATTTTTATTCAGCCATAAAGAAGGAAAGAAGCCAGACACACAAAAAACTTGGGATGATTCTATCCACACGAAATGTCCAGAATAGGCAAATCCATGGAGACAAAAGTGATTGCCAGGGGCTGGGGGTAGGGACAGGGTGGGGACCGGGGAATGACGGCCTAATGGGATTGGAGTTTCTTCTCCTCGGGTGCTGAAAACGTTCTGCAATTAGTGGCAAAGGCTGCACAACTCTGTGCACTGAATTATTCACTCTTAAAAGGTGAATTTTACAATGGATCTCAACGACGCTGTTATTAAGAAACAAGAAAGCGTGGGCTTGAAGGGTGGAGAATACAGCCCTGCGAAACTTTTTCCCCCTTGAACTGGAAACCAGAATTGCAACGGGAAATTCCCGGGCCTCGGCCTTTTTCCTTGGGAGTCTGGATTGGTTTTTCGCCAACAAACAGATTCCCGGAGACCGTCGCGAGGACCGTATCGACGGACAAAACCCACAACCTGGGCCTCTGGGCGCGCGTGACGTCAGGGGGCGGATCCGAGGCGCAGTTGCGGGGTAACAGCGGCGGCCC